CCAAGTATAATAAAATCTAGATTAAAAAATGCAAGGGGTGAACAAAGTGAATAGGGCCTCTTAATATGTCGAAACCAAATGATTAAGCGTAAATATGATAGCTTCGAATAAAAATATTGCAATGGATGCTATTAGCCGAAGACAAAAATGATGTGTTGATCTCTGAACTGTAAATAAGTAAATGTCCTCCTTCTTGTATTCACTTTCCTCTCTATTTATAAGGAACCATTCTCTCTTGAACCCTAAAAAGGTATTACATAAAGAATATTCGAAAAGCATATTCCTGTTGTCCCCTAGTACGCCTACACTACTGCAAATATTGTGCGTTTGCTAACCGCTGCCAGTCGTCACTCTTTACAACGGCTAAAGGATGCTGCGTCGTAAGGACCTCGTCTCTCGTCGTACTCGTTAGTGGTCGTGGTCGTCCAAATTTAAACCTATACAAAACCGACATTCTTAGGGCTACTATTAATTGAGATAACCAAGAAAAAATTGTATGGTTTAACAAATTTTCTTTCAAAGTTTTAAGTTTTGTTCTAAATATTCCACAATAATAGTATCTAATATTTTAAAATTTTGAGTTAAATTATTCAAATATTTATATCTACTAATAAAATAGTTGATAACTATGTATTGAAACAAAATATTAATGTTTTGTTAACTTAAAAAAGCTTTACTGATATAAGTAATTATAACTAATAGAAAATGTTTTGAGAGGGCTTTGACTCTTGGGAGCCCAGAACATCCTTAGTGGCCTTACAAAAAACGCAATAGTTGATACAAAGAATCTCACTCGTGTAATACAAGAAAAGGAAGAAAAATAAAAGTGTAGTTGCAACATTACTGTACTTATAAAATTATTAGAGTGATTGTAGATTTCTTCTTTATCTATTTCTCTATTATTTTTGCCTTTATTTAACCTTTTTAAAGGTCAATCTTTCTAGGGTTGATAATGATGAGTATGTGGACCTTCTTTTTCTTATACCCTAATGAACCTATAGTATATTATTCATTCGAAATGCTAGAGCTAGATCACGTTTTATTGTATGTGGAGATAATTTTATACTAATTTATATATGGTCAATTTAATGCCATATCTTTTAAAGAAGAATAGACTTGACTTCTTTTTAAGCCCAAACGAGCACGGTCAGAAGAGAAGTCTTTGGGCAACTCGATTGGAATCAGAGGAGAAAGATAGAGTCATTGACGTTCTAACCGCTGTCAGAAAGAAGCCGAGTGACCAAAGCGGCTCTAGAATTTGAATTTAATAGGTTTATTTTTTTAAAATTTTAGCATTAAATTCATTGTACTTGACCTTCGAGGTCGATAATAAAAAAAAAATAAAAAAAATCGGGTCAACAAAACTAGCTGCATATCTAGAAATGCACTGTTGGCACTCAAGTAATACTGCTACTAATATTCATTTCTGACATTTAAAACTCAGTAAATGTGGAATTAATTCTGAAAGATCTGGTTTTTGTTTAACAATGAGACTATTCATTCTCTCACATGTCACTGCATGTTAATTAATAGTATTAATTTATTTATATCATCGGTATATGAAACGCCTCAATTAAATATATTAATTACTAACAGTCGAGTAGAAAAAAATGTATAAACTTGTTCTAACCAAAAAAATAAAATTCTTGTTTCACGTTGTTGTAATATGGTCCAAAGCCATATCTATTGAGAATTTATGAATGGATTGACTTATGAAGAGAAACTTTAATTTAATATTTAAGTAGCATGCAGAACATGGACCTAATAATTAATATCACCTGTATATCCACCGCAATTTCGCAATAATTCACCTAAACAAATTGAAGGAATCATTTTTCACGATCTTGCTGAAATATTATTTAAATATTTTGTACTTTTCGTTTTTTTTATTTGTTTTTTTTTTCCTTTTTTGGGTGGGGTGAACATGATTAACCTGAAATGGTTATTTGGAAGATAGCAGCAGGTTAATTCGTCATATTCAGGTTGGTTGAACAGCTTTTGCAGAAACATAAATTAGGTCCGTTTATTATCAAAATCATGTTAGTCTATGACCCCAAAAAAAAACATGTTAGTCTGTCTGTTTTTTTTTTTTTTTTTTTTTTTTTTTTTTTTTTTTTTTTTTTTGCAGCT